TCTTAGTCTTTTCTTTTTTCTACATTTTGTTATTCCAGTTTGCCCTCTGGTGAGTCTATATGAGCTGCTTGTTTGGTACAGAGTACTTTTCCTTATTTAAGACTTAGTATATTATATCTTGAAATGACTTCGCCTTTTTCTTAAAATTCCTAAGGGTTTTTTCTAATTGCCTGTAGTTTGTCTAGTTTTGGTCTTGCATATACCATCTATATTTTGAACACGTGACATGTAATTTATCTGTAGCGAGCTTTGTTTACCTTTTTTCATGTATCTGTATTACATGAGATGATCTGCGTTCAAGGTTTGTTTGATTCCTCAAAAATTTTCTAAAAGTTTTCGTATTTTTGTCCAAAGCTCGAACTTCTTCTATAATACTTAATTTTCTTTAGATTTTTTCAGTTCTTTTTATTTCAGTATATGGGGATCAGTCAACAAAAACACAGCTTATGGCTTTTTTTCCATTTTGAGAAAATCACATTTAAATTTTAGTGTAACAATAACAACAGGTGATCTATTATTAGTATAACCTGTTTTGACCCTTGTTATAAACCTGTTAACTACAATGTAAAGTCTAATGCATGTAACCCGAGTAATCTAATATCCTATTGGATAATTATTACGTACCATAAAATTGCTACGTAGGAACTTGTCTAGTGAATAAACGCGTCTAAGTTATAAACTGTCTCTTGCGCTTCGTGTAGACAGTAGTGTGTGAATCAAAGGTAGAAGTATCCGAATGACATGCCGGTCGAAGAGAATAGCCTGAAAACCTGTGTGGAATTAGACCTAATAGCCGTAGTACTAGAATACTACGCGACACAAGGACCTAGGGTAAGGGAACGTTGAATTTATACTGTGTGGAAGGAAGTAAGAGCCTTGTTCGTGCTGTGTGTGATTAGAAATGAATTGTTATTGGAAAAGTTATGATCAAATGTTGGTAAAAGAAAATAAAACGTAAGGACGCACAAAAAGTGGAATGGGAATTGAAAAAAAAGAAAGTGTTAGCATAAAAATAAGTAAGTAAAACAAGAGTAAAACGAAACTTACCTGAAATTGATATGACGAGGTCAAAAAGGATGGAAGAGAATTGTTTGGTTGAAAAGGTATTGTCAATAGTGATTGGGGTCGTGAAAGGTTTGAAGGCTGGACCAGTAAATCGGAAACGACGCAGACTTCGATTGTATTACACTTGCCAAATAGAAGGGCATTACACTCATTACTGTCCATTGCAAGTGTCACCTACGAATCAGAAAAAAAAAAAAAGAATGAAGATCAATATAAGCGTAAGAAAAGAAGGGACGAAACATGAAGAAAAGGAATGACAAATCTGAAGAGGCGAGTGTGTGATTCCTTATATTAGTGGAGACAGTGGATGATAGCTAAGTGCCTGTATTAATCAATTATCAAAAGTCTGCAGACATGGATCGTATTATCAGAATATATAAGCCGAGTTGTTGTTACTGAAATGGAATAGGTGTAAAAGGGACGCATTTCTCATTTGATTTCTTATTCATGTTAATTTAGCTGGTGAGTATAGTTGTTAGGCGAACTGTTTTGCAAAAATGACGAAAGACAAAACCTAGACCCAAAAAAAAACGAAAGACGAAACCTCAGACAAAAGACGAAACCTATGATGAAAGGCAAAACTGACGAAAGACAAAGCCTCTAACAAAATGCGAAACCTGAGAGAAATGAAAGCTGAAACTTTAATAAAAGGTAAAGTCCTAACAATGATAAAAGGCTAAGCTACAGTTGGTAAACAAAATTTCTTTTTTTTTTTTTTTTTATATGATACGTATATTGTTATGTTCAGATCGTCGTGCAAATTTAATATTTATTTTATTTTTGAAGCCTTATTTAGCCTCAAATATTTAAGCTATTAAACTTCGTTTTAAATAAAGCCACAAATATTTAAATTGGCACAGGGTAAAAAAGTACATTAAGATATGAGTGATGGTCGTGAAAACCTGAAAATCATTTCACTTATTATCATCGTAGTGAATTCTACCAGAAGTAGAATTCACTACGATGATATTAAGTTAAATGATTTTCAGGTTTTCACATCCTGTCACTCATATAGCTATAGCTATGTCTTAACTCTATAATTAAGACTATATGGGATCTTTGCTATTAAAATGACCTTCCGAGACTATTTAGATTTTATGAATAAAATTAAAATTTACCATTGATCTAATAATCTAATTTTAGTAATCAATTTTTTTATTTTATAGAGTTCGCTAGATTTTATGAAAAAAAAATGTTTATTCAAATTGGACTACTGGATCGCTAGTAAATTTTAATTTTATTCATAAAATCTAAATAGTCTCGGAAGGTTATTTTCATAGCAAAGATCCCATATTCGATCGTATAGGCGAAAATTTTTGATAGTAATGCTGTGATTATTAAATTTAGTGATATGATGGAATAGATAATATTTCGATATTATGATAAATAAATCAATATGCAAAATATCAAAATCATTAAAAAAATATGTAATGATTTATTAATGATTTATAAGCATAATAGGTTTTGTGAACGGTTTTATAAGCAATTTATGGTTAAGAAAGCAAAATTATTAATACATTATAATAATAAAAATAATTTTTAAATATATATATATATTTAAATAAAATAAAAAATTTAAATTTTAAGGTTTAGAAATTTTTGGTTCTGGACAAAGGTTATCTTGTTTTTCTTTGATTTGAATATGTTTTCGTATTTCATCAAAAAGATACCATTGTCGTGTTATACTTAAGCCTGGAAGAGGAATAATTTCTAAATTTGAACTAATATTTTCTGAAGGAGTTTTTTTCTGAATTTCAATTAATGTTTTTTCACCATTAATAAATTTACTTATTTCTACCTGTCCTTTATATTCATTACTAAAAATAAAATGATGTTGTTTTAAAATATTTGGTATAGTAGTAAAAAAATTTTTTAGCCATTTGTTCCAATTATAAAAATATACTACTTGATTTCCTTCTTTATCAAAAATAGTTTGTGCAATATTATATTTATCAGTTGTTGAATTTTCAACAACTTTAATTAAATCATCCAAATCATCAACTTCTGATTTAGCAAGTGCTAATTTAAATAAACCAAAAAATGAATCTGGACTAAATTTTGTATGTCCAGCAATCATAAAAGAGTATTTAATTCTATCGTGATAGCCCATTATTACTCTCCATGCTAAATATGCTATCATTAAGTTATTTTTATTTTGTCCAGTACAATTATCTGCATGAATAGTTAAATATTTTTCTCCTAATCCATGTAATAAAAAATAATTATGAACTAATGAAATAACTGTATTTGCACCTTTTCCTAGCATTTCACTTTCTTTAATAAGATAATTTACCTAAAAATAATTAAATATAAGTTTTTAGATTTTAAAATTTATATTAATTAAATAATAAATTATTTATAATTTACTTGACGAGGAAATGCATCATCACATATTCCAAAAACATGAATTTTGTAAAGTGATTTAAAAAATATTTCTCCCTAATAAAATAATAATTTAAAATTAGTTATAAATAAATAAATAAATAAATAAATAACAAATATTATTACTTCTTGCTGTGATGAAGAAGGCAAATGAACTTGTTGTGCAAAATCCCAAGATAAATGTAATTCAATATCTAATGAATTAATTTTTCCTGGTCGAATTAAAGTTTTTTTATCAAAATTTAAAATATTAATTTTTGCTTGTTTTATACATTGTCTAAATTTATTTAATATATAAAAATTAATAATTAAATTTAATTATAACTTATTATTAAAATTTATAATATACTTACTTATAATATTCACGTTCATTATTTGCAGTTTCAATATGTTTACTCCATTCAATTACTTTTAACTCTTTTTCTTTTATAGTCCATTTATCAGTATTAAATCGCATTATTTTGCAAAAAAAGCATAAATTACTTCTTGGTGTTAAAAATTTAATTTCTGATAAATAATTTTTTAAAATTCGTTTAAAAGAACTTAAACTAATAAATAATTCTTCAATATTTTCATATTGCTGAATAGCATTTAAATATTGTCTATATAAAGATGCATAACTTTCAGTAGCTGGTAAAAAAATAATTTCTATTTTTTCACGTCTAAAATGTCGACCTTAATAAATAAATAAATAAATAATAATAAATATATTTTTAAAAATATAAAATTAAATAAATATATACCTGGTGATGGAAGTCCCCATTTATTAGCATAGCTTAAAATAAAACTAATAATTTTTATAATTGTAAGAAAAGGTATTGCAGTATGACTAGATTTTTTAGCAGATTTATGAATTCTAGTTTTAATATCTTCTTTAGATAAATGAATTCTAATATTTTCTATTCTTGTAGATCCAATTCCATAAATAAATTTAAAAGCTTGTAAACATATTTTATCTGAATCAAAAGAATAATCATAGTATATTCTGACTCTTTTGTTGCCTTTAGAAGTTTCTTGTGATTTTGAAATACCAATAAAATAACCCATTAAAAAAGAATCTTGATTATTTTTAGATAAATTTTGAAAACTAAAATATCTTAAATAAGCTTTTTGAGTATTAATTTTTTCTTTTAAACAATTATATTGACAACATATTGTTTCACTCATCTTTTTTATAAAATCTTCTTCATTATTATTAATATTTGTTTCTAAATTTTCATCAGTATTATTATTTAAATTATCTTCTTCAAAATTTTCAATAATTTTAATTTTTTTATAAATTTGTTGATATTTTTGTAAATGAGATTCAGAAATAAATAAAAAATTTTCATCTTCATCATTCTCATCTTCTTCTAAAATTTCATTATAATCTTCTAACTCAGAACTATTATTATTAATATTTACAAAATGTGTTTGAAGATAAGAAAAATCATTTTGCAATGTTTGAAGTTCTTGATGAGTTTCAGAAAAAATACTATTTAATAATGGATGAGTAAAATCTTCCATTTTTAATTTAAAAAAATATAAAATAATAAAAATATTTATTATATAAGTATCAAAATTTAGAAATAAAATTTATAGATATTTTTAAAAAATATAAGAACTTGTTTTATATGATTTAAAATTAAAAACTTATATATATATTTTTTTATTTATAAGCCTATTATATATTTTTAATACAGAATTCTTATAATTAATATTTTTTTATTATATTAAGAAAATTCTGAGCTGCAGATTATTTCTAATCACAAAATTCTGTTTCTAATACTAAAATCTTATGTAATAAAACAAATAAATAAAACTTAAAAATAGCAAGAAATTACTAATAACACAAAATTTTACTAATTTCTAACCTCTAAGCAAAAATTCACACCATGTAATTTTAGTAATATAGATGAGTTTTTACATTAAATATTTAAAGTATTTATAGTATACTACAAACTTAAAGTTTTGGGATCGGAGACCTAGGATTTTCTTGACATAAGAATACTCAACAATTACATGATTATCTCATATGTTAATATTATATATCGCGTGAAAAAAATAATTTAATATCTGCTTATTTTTAATTAATTATTATTATATCATATTTAATATTAAAACTAAGTAAGTCTTAATTATTTCTCCGATTTTATTTCCCTAATAATTACTTCCCCAACAATAATTTTTCTAATAATTATTTCTCTAACACAACTATTTTACTGACAATCACTTCCTCAACATTTCATTTTCCTAACATTCACTTCTTCAACACAAACATTTTACTAACAATTACATACATTATCTTCGTAACAATATATAATCATTATTTTAAATGCATGAATAAATAAATGTTCTTCGCACTTACCAGCTAAATTACAGTGAATAAATAAAATTAAGAGTGGTAAATATCTATGAACTTGAACAGTTTACCTTAAACATATTGATTGATAAATGATCCTACTCGCAGATTAAAATAAATGCAAATAAACACATGAACTCGAATAGCTCGTTTTAAAATGTAAATTAATAAATGTTTAATTATGCTCACAGACTAAATTGACAAATAAAATAGAATTAAATGAAATACTGTAATAGGTAAAATCTATAAAATTAAATAACTCACCTTAAATGTTTAGATTGATTAATGATCTTACTCATATTACATTAACGCAAACAAAATAAAAATAAATATGAGCAATGAACTTAGATAGCTCATTTTAAGTATATCGATTAATAAACGTATATTATTGTTATGATCATCAGATAAATTGAAAAACAAAATGAATTAAATTAGAGATGCTAGAGGTTGTACCCGTTGAAAAAATCTCTACTTGGGTCACACACTTATTTACAAAGTCATTATTATCTGAACAATTAGATAATTAACTAATTATTCGTATGGATTTTAGATAATAAAAAAAAAATGATTATCTGAGCCAGGGCCGATGATTTTCTGCATTTCACAAAATGCTGCAGAAATCTTAGAATTAAGATACAAACATGGAATACAGTACCACTGAAAGTAGGTAATAGTAGTAGATAATAAGAAATTTTGGATTTATAGCTATTTTCATAATTTCTGGAACACCTACTCGTTATCCAAAATCTTTTTGGTCATCCAGTAAATTATCTAGCTTTCCGAAAATTACTTTGCTGTCTCTGGGCTAAAGGTCTGAAGACAGCGATGTAGTTTCTTGAGAGTTAGATAATTTACCGGATGACCAAAAAGATTTTGAATAACGAGTAGGTGTTCCATAAATTATGAAAATAGCTGTAATACATGTATTGTAATAAGAAATTCCTCAAGTCAAAGGTTCCGAAAAGATCTAATGTAGATAATAAATGAACCTAAAATATGAGCGTAGTCAGCTAAAATTTTTTCAGAAGAAGAGAAAAGAATAAGTTATACAAAAGAAGTAGAAGTAAAGACTGAAGAAATTGAGATGAAAGTAGAAGAAGAAAGATGAGCAACTCAGCATATATTAGTATTTTCTCAAAACTACATAGAATCAAAAGCCTAAACAGTGAACTCATACCAACCATCAAAGCAGATAGCAATATATCTGAGAATATAGAAAATATCAAAACAAGCAAAACTGCAAGAAGCGCTATATCTGATCAAAAAGATACTGAAGCTAAAGAGCAAGCAGATAATGAAGTAAACCTAGAAGTATATGAAGAAGTTTCTCTAGATCAAAGTATAAGGGCTCTAAAAAAGGAAAGCTGCATAAACAAGGGAAACATCGAGACAAAAGTAGCTGCTATAAACATGTTTGATGATAATTCAGAGCAAAGAGAAAAATCTATTAGATAGTTACTTCGAGAGAATGCATATCTAGAGAAGATCTCTGAGAAATTTGATAAAGGGAATCTTTGGTGTATAATTACTTTCGATTGTGAAAAAGGATACGAAGAAGCAAGAGTTAAATTAAAAAACTTTAAAAAAGACATCGAAAAACTGAGACTCATACGAGAGATAACCCAGCAAACACATACAGTCAAGAAGCTAAATGAAAAACTAACAAGCAATACAAAAAAAGAAGAAAGCAAAGCCGAGAGGGAAAGTAGAGCAAAGAGAGAGCTTGAAGAAATCTCTAAAAAAGAAAAGAGAAAACACCTCAATACTCTGCCTCAAAACACATAGCCATATCAGAAAATAATTTAATATTCAATCGATAAGACAAGGAAAGAATAATAGAAACAAATGAAAACCATATAACAATATGGGACTTACCAACTTGGGTGAGAAAATCTCAGATTTTTGAAACAATACAGTACTTAGGAAGAGTAGCTCACATAGAAATGATTAAAGAATCTCGTGTTAAGACAAGAGCAGAAGTAAGCTTTCTCCCTAACACAATAGATACAAGAGTCCTAGCAGAGATATAGTGCTTGCTCTTTATGAGAGATCAACTAGTTAGGGTTACAGTAGGAAAATGCAACTTTGAGGAGTTGAGAGCACACAACATATTTAACAGAAAACTGCTCAACCTGCCAGAAGACACTAATGAAGTTCTTTTATGGAGACAAGTAAAATGTATAGATGCTAAAGCACTACATATTTTTAGAAATTCTAATAGCAATAGTAGAAGAAGTGCAACTGTATACTTTAAAAATGAAAAGGACTACAGCAATAGCACGAAGTTTGCAGTATTCTATTATAACACTAGACTCAACTAGGCAAAAGTGAAAGATGAAATAATAGAAAGTAAAAAATAAAGACAGAGAAAAGAGAAACACATTATAACAAGGTATATAAAGAAAGTCACAACTGAAATAGGCAGAACTTAAGTTCTTTAGATATGGAATCAAGCAAAGATGAAGTATCAGATACAGAAAACTCAGATATAGAATACCAATGGAGAAGCGTATACTCCAAAAAGAAAAGCAAAGAAATCAGAGAAGGGAAAAGAAGAGCTCCTCTTAGCGAAGCATCTAGTAGTAATATAACACCTCAAGAACCACATAGAAGTTATAAGAACACTATAGACTACATGCTCCAGCTTATAAGAAGCCTTGAGAAAAAAATTCAGCATATAGAGTGAGATGATCCTAATCACTCCTAACAGTCGCACCAGTTGAACTAATGATAATAGACAGTGGTGCAAACTATCTTCAGTTAGAAAGGAGAGTGAAGAAAAGAAACAAAGCAGGAGAGAGTAAAAGTATTATAGTGGAGGACTATTGGACATTAAACATAGCTATGCATAATATCAATGGGATCAAAGGCAACTTAGTTAAATTATAAATACTTCTAGAATAGGCAAAACAAGAGAAAATAGATATGATTGGAATTAATGAAACCAATACAACAGAAAGGCAAAACAAGTTTAGTATGAGTAAATACAAAGATTATCTAAGAATCTAGACAGATACTGATGAAAACAAGAAAAAAGAGTCTGGGGTAAGATTAATTATGAACAAGAAATGGGAAAAGCATCTAGACCAGATAAAACGAAATAATACATATTGTATAGAAGCCCTTTTCATATTCAAAAAGCAAAAAATACAGGTAATAGTAGTATATATTCCCCATAATGATCAGAAGACTAGAAAGGATATATAGTAGCAAGTTATAAAAAGAATCTATGATTGCTAAAGAAAAGCTATAAAGATTATAGTAATAGGTGATTTGAATAATATAAGATGCAAGGATCTTGACCAAAACAGAGAAGACTTAAAACGAACCTAGAAGCTCCCTCTTTTGAACTGGCTAAGCAACTCAGATATGGTAGATGCTTTCAGAAAATTACACTTATACAAAAAGAAGTTCACTAGATCAAATGATCAGGTGAAATCTAGAATCGACTACATCTGAATCTCAAAAGATCTAGCACAGAGCTTAATAAGTTGTCAGATAATTGAGTCAAATATAATCACAAATAGTGACTATATGATAGTAAAGGCAAACATAGCAACAGGAATTATGAAAAAATCCAGAACTGCAGCTTGTGATAAAAGACTAAAGGGCAAAAAATAGGTGTTTAGTTTAGAAAAAGCTGTAGAAGAAAACTAGGAAGATTACAAAACAAAGCTAGACAACACACTCGAAGAGAAGCTAAGTAACAGTAAAAGGAAAAACAACCTAAACAGACTAGAAGCGATAAGCAAAGATGATTTGTAGAATATAATATCAGCTAGCATCATCAAGTGCACTAAGGCCACACTCCAGGCAAGAAAGTGGCACTCGAGAGAACCAAGACAAAAAGAAAAGTGAATAAAAGCGATAGCATAAAGAAAGACTTAAAGAAAATTGGAAAAATATGCTAGCAATGCGCAGAAGGAATGGGTCAACAAATCATCGAAACAAACAGAACTAACATTAATTTACAGATAAAGTATCTAAACGAAGAATATGAAACTGAAATAAAAGAACTCTCAGAAAGGGTATGGTCTAAAAGAAGGCTCGAAGACCTCAAGACATAGTGAAAGATCATGTATACAAAAGTGCAACAAGCAAGGAAAAAAGAAGAACTAGAAGGAATAAACCAAGCAGTAGAACAATGTTGTGAGGCAGAGTATTG